AGAGCAGGTCGTGTTGGTTTCTACGGACAGACAGTGATGTAATACCAAAATGATGCAGAAGAGAAGGATAGGACAGAGAGGAACATGGCGAGGATGTGTGGCTATTCAACCACAACAAGAATTTGTGCTGCACACGATCAACCCGCTCTGTGTGGGATTTGGCCGCTCCCGCCCAGACCACGCAACCGTATTCCAAAATTGAACGAACATTGGCATAGTAAGTAACGAGTAACGTATGTTTGTTAAATTTCGATCTCTTAGTCCCGGCCTGAAAGGTTCTGATCATCAGGCCTAGGGCCCTGTTTGCATGGCATACAATCCGGGACACGTGCGCCGAAAATGACAGCTTGCTGTCAATTGTGACGCCAAGATCTTTGATCTCGTCTACGCTCTCCAGAACAGCGCTGCCAATACGGTAGGTGGTCCGAACGGGAGCGCGCCGCAGAGTCACACTGAATGCTTTACATTTGGCTGGGTTTAGAGACAGACCCCATGTGGCCGACCAGGAGCTCAGCCGGTCGATGTCCGTCTGCAGAGTGGCAGCATCCTGGCGCGTCGTGATTTTCCTGAAGATTTTGGCATCGTCTGCGTAGAGTAAACATTCTGAGTCTAGATCGGAAGGGAGGTCATTGATAAAAATAGAAAATAGGATTGGAGCAATCAATGACCCCTCTGGATTTCCCGAAATGACACTAGTCCATTCCGACGTTTTGCCGTTCAGTGTGACTCTTTGGCGCCTATCGGAGAGGTACGAGACAAACCACATGAGAGCTGAGCCGTGGACGTGGAACGAATTTTTTAGTTTGTGGATCAAGTAACCATGATTTACACTTTGAAAGGCCGCTGTGAAGTCGGTGTATAATTATATCGTGTTTGTCTGGTATCCCTCCGATATGGCCTCCCACGCCGAGGTCAGAAAGACGGCCAAGTTGCTGGTGCATGATCTGCCCGGCACAAAACCGTGCTGCTCGTTGCAGAGTGCCGGTGCCACGTGCCGGTAAAGCTGGTCATAAACCACTTTTTCTAAAATCTTTGCGAAGAGAGGCAGCAAGCTAACACTTCTGTAGTTTTCGGCCGACTTTTTGTCTCCTTTTTGAATATCGGCACAGTGAGTGATTGCAAAATACATAAATATCTTGGTCGATATGGGACACACCAGAGTCCTGTAGACGGTTGTCATCCCAGATTAATGATTGTAAATTATCACGCGCAGTGGAAGGGTTCCGAGAACTTCTCCCAGCGGAAAGGGGGGGGGGCGAATGTCGCCCTTCCCCTAAGATCTTAACTCCTCTGGAAGCTAAAAGACGAAATTTAAAGGGTTGGTGGGGGTGGTGGGGAACTCGACTGTGCGTTAATTTCATGACATTAGATCAAAATCGTCAATGTCAAATGAGGACAAATGGGGTTAAGTTTGCCATATGAGGGACTAACTATTTTATGTTTAGACTCCCATAACTCAAAAAATTACCGGCCGATTTTCTTATTTATTTCACTAAACGACAGCACATAATTTTTCAAAATACATTACGAATTTCTAGTCAATCCAATCACTCTGCTAAGAGTAAGATGTCTTCCGGTTGAGGCGGCGATCAGCCGACGCGGGAAGCCGTTCAGTCACATTTTTATGTTTATCATTCTCGTAAGTCGTAACCCAAAATTTTACCGGCTGATTTTCGTATTTATGTGACCATAAGATTGCCTTTACACCACATTTCTAAGCCTTCACAGATATTTTGACGCGAAGCGATCACTAGCAGCGGTACTGGCAGGACGAAACCGTCCGGCACCGGTACAGTCTATCAGGCGGCGAGTAGCGGCCGGTGCCGGCCGCCGCGCTTCTGCGCCGCCGCTCTGGCAAGATGTTTGACTTTACACGGTACACCCGTGTTAGTAGAAAAGTTGTGGACCGATTGTTATCGCTTTCACGGCAAAATATGCAGTTTAATTTCAGGCAGGTACTGAAAATTTAACGTCAATAGAATATTACGGCATGGTTTATTTGCCAAAAACAGGAGAAGTTGGCGAAATTCGCCCCTGCACCCCGTTCAACTGCGCGTGCCATAGCTATTTTTGCGGTTGTTAAAATGAGCCACTCCGGTGGCCATTTAGTTATTCGCTTATCACAAATGGCTATTCCATTCACAAAAACAAAACAGCAGATAAAACGCTTAGCTGTTCATGAGAAACGTAAAAAAGCAAAGCTTTCCCATTAAAACTTAAAAACTGTTATCGAGTATAATTAAGTAAGCTCGAAGACGCCTTGATGACATAAGGCTTTATTATTTTCGGTCTGTTCTGTATTATTTATAAAGTTCATATGACGTCATAAATGCTTTCCATTGCGCAAACTTGAACTTAAAAGCAATAGTTTGGAATCCCGTAAAGTGCGAAGGATATTGCGCGTGTGCTGCAAATGCTTTTATCGTATAGCCATGTAGTATATAATACTGAACGAGGCCGGTGTAAATAAATTTTCAAGACCGAGGTCCTTACTGAATTTTTGAACGAGGCCGAAGGCCGAGTTCAAAAATCAGTAAGGACTGAGGTCTTGAAAATTTATCACCGGCCGAGTTTGGTATGTATTTTACTGTATGCCAACGATAAAATAATTGTCTAGACCGAAGCTCTTAGCCGTTTTTTGAACGAGGCCATCCCAAAATGTTGACTTGGTAATGCATTTTTGACCGTGGTCACTTTGCTTACACCAGTTATTACCACACCCCTCAGGCTAATGTATTTGAATAGACCAGGCATACAGTAAAGCTATATTGTGCATCTTTTTGGCCAAAGTTTTTTAGTAAAAGGCTTGCAAAACGTTAATTCTGCGATTCCGTCCTAAAGTCTAAGAGGCCATTCAAACGTGCTAACCCCTTAGTATTCGAGTGCTACAGACTCTGATATTAGATATTACCGAATTAAGGCACTTATCGAAATTGCCCGTGCCCAAACCGGTAATTGCGAGCCAGGGACCTCAAGCTGGCAATTTCAACTCAAAGTAAAGGTGGGATGCCACTTTAAAAGAAACATTTGAAAGCAGTCGGTCTCGTCGTGTTCGAGAACCAGACTCAGAATGGGGATATTTGATGTTACTCTTAAATTGCTCAATTGACATCTTGTCGATGTGCTAGTTGCGTTCTGGATTCATATAAAGTTCGGGTGCAATTATTTGGTCCGTTTTCAATACGTGAGGGTGAATTACAATGGCGCGCACGGTCCTTGGCACGGCCCCTTTATATGAATGAAGGCGAAAAAAAAACGTTGCACGCAGTGAGGTGGACGCGTTTGATGCAAGCAAATTATAATATATTGGAAACTGGAATAGCCATTTCATGACAGCCGAAAGCCTGTTCCAGCCGTAGGGGTTCATTAGCGACTCAAACCCACTCCCAGGCTCTCGCTACTGCACTGGTAACTCCATATTCTAACTTCCAACCAGTGACTCGGGATAGGCGTGAATAATTCAGCTAGGAATGAGAAAGCCCATCAAAATTTGCTATTCCACTAACGTTTGTAGTTGTGGCCCTCCCCTCGCCGGTCGAAGCGAAGGGGTGCTGCCCCCATACGTTTTTTTTCGCACTTGCTTGGAAAATGCTGGGAACAGAGAGCTGAAAATTTACATACCTGACTCTTGGTTCAAGTTGGAACTTACGACATTAACTGCATGTTCAGTTCAGGTCAGGTCACTGGCTTATGACGTCATAAATGAACCTCTGCAGTCTGCAAGGCCCTAAAATGTCGCAAGTTCGCGACGCCGTCAATTGCAATGTCAGGGAATCCTTTATGGGGAGATAAAGCTTATAGGACTTAACATCCTTCAGAGGTCTCACAACTTAATTATCTCGGATTTTTCCAGAAGCTCACCAGGCTGGTCACGAGGTCAGGCTGGTCACGTAACCTCACCAATATAAGTCAATGCAGAAAATATGGAAACTGTATTTTTGCATTGGGAAATATGTAAAACCAACTAAAGCACATGGCATCATGATTTCATGAACAGTCATTACAAGGTCCGATGCTTCACTTTTGCATCGCTGACCTTGCATGACATCGTTTATGACGTCACAAAGTTCGGTTCACATCATTTGTCAGCTTTAAACAACAGCAGCTAATCAAATAGGACACTCTATGATCACTAGCTCACCTGAACTGCCATCATTTTCAGTCGCCAAGTTTTTGGTCAATAACTCCCGATCAAATACAGCTGGCAAGTCGGAAAAACCACTAATGGACTCGAGAATCCTGCAAAATCGGATGATATGCGTTATGACCCCCTTAAGCCAGTTTCGTCACATGAGTGGCTCTGACCTGATCTTGACCCGAAGTCAACACCTTAACCCGACCGGGCCCGGGGGTAATCCCAACCACTGCAGGCTGCAGCCCGGGGGGCTGCAGTGGTTTTTCGTTTTTCGCCCCCCCCCCCGTCTAACTCGGTAAACAAGGGAGCTACGAAAACAAAAGCGGTACCAAACGAAAGACCTTTACAAGACGATTCTAAAGCATCCATTTTTTTAATTTTGCATCCCGGTTCACTGAGGCATACCGGGGCGGGGAATAAAGCATCTAAAATGTTTGAACTCAGGTCAATTTTTGAGGTCAGAGGTCAAGGTCAAAGGCAAAAACCGGCACATGTGTAGTGATCTCAAAGTAAGCGTTCTAGAGGACGGCAGGATGCATAAAACCGGCAAAATTGATATTTCCGGCGAATGTTAACCGTTCGTTTGTGCATCTACACCTTTTAGGTACTTGCATTCCAAATTACATTCAAAATATACAAATATACAAGTTCACTTGCGTTCGAACAAGACATGTTCCTTGGTCACATTCGTTTTATAGATATCATGTTTGGCACTTTTGAACGGTCAGCTGTCATTTCTATCTTCCTCAAATAAACACCAGACGTTTTGTTTTTAGCTGCCATCAGTCGGTTGACATCATTTGTCAGCTTTAAAAAAAAAACAGCTAATCAAATAGGACACTGAACTCTATGATCACTAGCTCACCTGAACTGCCATCGTTTTCAGTCGTCTCCGATCGCCGAGACGCTCGACCCGCATGACCTGCAGCTTCCGAGAGCTGCAGCAGTCCCGCCACGGAAAACGCCCTGGCGCGCGGGCTCAGACCGCTCCAGTCGCCCATGACGGCTCACAGTGGCGGCTGGGTCGCACCTCACACCCCCACCGGCACCGTGGCTAATCCGCCCGCCGGGCGCCCCAAGCCGGGATCAAATCACACTTCGTGGTGCTGCCGGCGCCCGGCATAACGCCCGCTCATTGGCTGCTGGCGGCCGGGGGCGGGGCCAGCGCACTGCCGGGAGGGCGTGCTTTACCGCGCCGCGGCTGCCGGCCACCGCCGCCGGGCCGGGTCGCGTAGCTGTCTAGCCGAGCTGTCCCCGGTGCGATAGAGACCCCAATGGCTGGTGGAAGGTGACCGGTGCAGGACAGAAAGGTGATGGGCATGACGAGCGAGATCCGGGTATCGGATACTTTGTATTTTTATTTTTATATAAATTATTCCAAAATGAATGTCTATCAATCACGGATAACAGAATGTGCAAAGTCACCACTGCAACTTTGCAGTACCTACTTAGTACTTAACTAAAAGAAAAAGTGGCACTGCTGAAAGCCTCTCGTTAGTCTTTAGTGTCCTGATTTTACCTAGGAATTATGTAAATTAGAATAATTCATCATAAATTGGTAATACGGGATTACAGGGTGATCAATAAAGAATGACATTAAGTTAGCACCCACGACAGGCACATAACATGTATTTTAATACACAAAAAGCACACCGTTAGAATGATAAATCTTGGACATTTGACATTTCATATGCGAAAGTCAGCTGTGACACTTGTTCGTCTACAGGAGGTGCTCAAAGTTCCCTCCCCTCTATGCGCAGCGGAGCTCAGCCCGAGCCGCTTGTGCCGCGCCACACGTCCCAGATGGCTGTCGATCATCCTATGGGCAAAACCTTCGGCGACTCACGGCAGCCTTCAGCTCATCAAGGATCTAGAGCTCGCTTCGCGGCTTCTTTAGCTGTTTTGGGGTAAAAGCTGAAGTGGAGGCAGGAAAAATCCAGAGTAGGGTGGCCAAGGGTGCTGGGTGCTTGCTGATTGCTGACAGAGGTGGAGAGTCCATAGCAATTCTACAAAATCAACACAATATCCACGTTCGCATGGCTTCAGGAGACATGCAAATGTCCTTCTGGAATGTATGGACAAATTACCGCCAGAAACTGAACTGGGAATCACACCGTCCGATCCTAAAGACCGTCTTCTCCTCTGACAGCATTGTCTCGAGACTGAAAGTGTGCACCTTCTGGCTTGGTCAAGCGGAAAGAATGATTCGAAGGGGTGATCTGGAGTGGCGAAAAGTGCTTTATACTACAGCCAGTATCCAATAGGAAGAATACGGTTTCCTGGTCAACGACAAATCCACAGAAACTGATTCAAATCAAGAAGGCGCACGGAGTGGAAGTATGGCCGAGCTCTGCCGCGAGGAAAAGCTAGGGAACTTCGAGCACCTCCTGTAGGCAAACCAAGTATCATAACTGACTTCCGTTTGTGTGATGTCAAATGTCCAACATTTGTCAATCTAACGGTGTGTTGTTTATGTGTAAAAATATAAATTATGTGTCTCCCGTGGGGGCTTACTTTATGTCATTCTTTCGTGATCACCCTGTATCAAAACGCTGCTGAAACTTGAGAGCCTTTCGATCATCACAAGTAACAAACAGTGTCAATCAGTAAAAAGCAATAGGTACTTAGTACCTATTTAGACTCGCAACACCGTCTTACAGAACTGTTTGTTAACCATGCACTGCCATTTCCGTGTCACGTTTTTTTTCTTCATTGGATAAAGGAGACGTGCTTGTCGCTGTTTTTGTTTTGGAATGATATTTGAAAATTATGTCAATGGAATAACAGCCGGAAACACGTAACAGAGGAATATTGTAATGGAAATTAACGTCTGATAGCTTGATAAACCATTCAAAGGATCTACGATTGCTTCCTAAGGCGGAAACCTACTAAAAAGCAAAAACAAACAGCTATGAACTTAATTTGACTAAATCTGCACCTAATATGCACCAAATATGTACCAGTGTGCCAGTGATAATGGCCAATATTACATTATGTTCAGAGAAAATGCCCTACCTGCCTTATTGTTGATAATTGGCAGTAGTTCTCAACACAGCACTTCACAAAGTAGCTTTCAATCATGGATGATGACTTCAAGACCTCCCAACCAAAGAGCGCCTTCACCACCGATAATTACCAGTAAAACGCCTTTTGGGCGAAGAACGAGCGAGCGAGATAGTGAGCCCTGCACGTGCGGAAGGGCGAGAGGGTGCTTCCAACGGGCTTGCGCAAAGCACCCTTCTAACCGGTCGCTAGCGGTGTGCCAAATTTGAACGCAATCGGACCAGCCGTTCCTGAGATCTGGAAGCGGCATTCTGCACGTGCGCACGTGCAAACGGGGCCCAAAATGACTTTTGCACGGCACCCTACTAACTGGTCCCCAACCGTGTACCAAATTTGAGCGCAATCGGCCCAGCCGTTCTCGAGATCTGGAAACGCCCCCTGCACGTGCGCACGTGCAGTAGCACCCTAACCGCAACACATGGGAATGCATTGCCTGGTGGGTGCCTACCTGTATGCCAAGTTTCAGCGAAATCGCCCTGTAATTACCGAGTTACTGAAATGGGAACAAATTTGGCACCTCTTATTGTTGTATTTTGCACGTGCACTGGGGGTGACCCACATGCATCGAGAGTATCCTATTTTGGGTAGAAGGGATGCTGCTACCCTACAAAAATTACCGCAAGTCAATCACCCAAGCGGCTGCTGAGATATGAGCCTCTCAAAATCACTACTTTTGCAAAACAGCTTGAAAATGAACACCCTTGACTTTTCACGTGGCACGTGCCACGACGGTCACTGAGATGTATCAAAAGTAGTCAATTACGGGGTAGAAGGGATGGGGCTACCCAACAAAAAAGACCGCAGGCCAATCGGTCCAGCGGTTGCTGAGATATAAGCCTCTCAAAAGCGTTACAGGCCGGGCCGGGCCGGGCCGCTCATACTGAGATTTTTCCGTTATATTGAAAAGACTCACTTCGCTCGCTGCGCTCGCTCGCTCGTAATCAATCACAGTCACCTTTTGTACGAGCCACAGCCCGCCCTTTCCCGGGCGCAGAACTGAGCCGCACGGCCTCTCGCCTCGACTCACGAGGCTAACTGACTAGCTTGATCTGAGCCATCGTATGCCACTTGGTTACGTAATGCAAGATTCGTTGTGACTTTTCCCTGCTTTAATTTCATTAGCCGTTCTGCTGGAAACGGTGCTGCATAGATATACCACTTTCCCAATGGCTGCAAGAAAGACCATAACAAATATAGATATGACACTTCAATATTGCACCTGAAGTATATTTTCATCGCTGGACGCTGACGGGTTTGATAATATGAAACAATGAAACAACTGAAACAACAACAGTCAAATAACTTCTTTGTGTGAAATAATTTCTTACCCACTAGAGTGGAATATGTTTCATGATGGCGATCTTTGCGAGGCCCTTGCCTATCTCGGTAACATGTAAGTACCTTTCCTTGTCATATCTTCAAAATTAAAACGACGTTCGATCCCTCCAGAATTTTGAATGAAACATGATTTTCACAACCTCGAGTGAGGATATCGAGGACCAGATCATAATTGATGCACGAACAATACGGCATCTTTACAGCAAATTCGGACTCTGGCTCCGCTTAACAAGTATAACATAGAGCTTTAGGTATTTAGTGGTTTGATTGACCACTCGCAAATGTTTGGTGAAGGGAGCCTGCGCCTGCGGATATCAGCCTTGCACTGCGTAACTATTTCTAGATCAAACCTTGAAGGTCAGCTATGTCCGATAAATTTCAAGTTATATTTTTGACCATACAGGGTGACGCAGCTTGGCATTTATCTGATTAATCAGAAAGTTGGTGTAAGGAAGACTTTTTCCATCAACATTAGCATACTAACGTGTCGAGAACAGATTTTAGGAGCCTCCACACACCGGTTAGTCACCTCCTCTCTCTCTCTCTCTCTCTCTCTCTCTCTCTCTCTCTCTCTCTCTCTCTCTCTCTCTCTCTCTCTCTCTCTCTCTCTCTCTGCAATTGAGCGACAGTCGACATCCGAATCCTGCGGGCGCCAAATTTAGCACGTCTGCCCACGCCGCCCACGGCGACAGGCTGCTGTGTGAGACGGCCTCGGGCGGTCACGTGACCTGTCGCCGGCGCACCGTGTCGGCCCGTCACCAGTAGCAGCGCGGCGGAAACCGTTGACAGCTCCCCGGGCCAGAGGAAGGCTCGTCAGAGAGCGCTCACACTGGGCGGGCGCTCAAATGGGCAAACCACTGCGCGGCTGAGCAAACGGTTCATCAACCGCCACAGTAAAATGGCTGAGCCAAAGTGCTGTTTTTTTTTAGGCATACGAACACATGAGGGGAGCTCTTGTCCATGCCGAAATATGGCGTATCTTTTTGTTATTATGATCGCAAGCTATTTTTCGGTTTATGAAAAAGAAATCTTGGATGCATTAGGTAGTTTAGCAATATAAATATCGACCACAAATTGGTCGAAATAACAATCGACAAAAATACAAAAATCAAATTATCATGGCTGCATACAAAAGTGCTCTTGAAATTCACATTTAATTCGTATCATACGTCTCACCAGAAACTTATATGCGACGTTGTCGCTATCTGAGTAATGTGGTTTGTACCGTTTAAAAAGTGATCTCAACAGCCATCGCGTCGCCCACTCCATCGCTAAATTGACATTGTCAAGTGTCACGCACCCGGTGTCGACAGGGAGCGAATTGTGATTATATAATTCAACATCCGCCGGCCAAATGTCAGCCTTGCAGAAGGCCTATTTCAGGAGAATCAGTGCCGTGCGTAACACAAACGCTCAGCGCGTGCAGTGCTCCCGACTTGACAATCGCCTAATTCAGAATGAACACTTCGGGTGAGAAATAATCGACCATTTAATCATGAATGTCGCGCTATCTTACATTTACGGTTGGATCAAATGTACGCAGCACAATATAAATTCACGGTTCTTATCTTTATGTAAATACTTACCCGTTTATCGAACTTTTACTTGATATCATTTGACATTTCATACAGTTAGTCTTATTACCGGTAGGTAAGTACCTATTAGCCGTAGGGGAAGCGGGGGGAGCACCGCCACCTTAAGCATTTCTGCTCACCGAGCTGATATGCGTAGTAAAAACGAAGCTCTTTTGCATTCATGTGAAAGTAGGAATGTTTTCCTACATGTTGGCATAGTTTCCAGCGCTCCATTATAAAATTTCGCTACTTTACAGACGTCGAAAACAAGTCCTGCATTTTTCGTCCTCCAAAAAATGTGCGGGTAGCACCGCCACTGATGGCGATGTTATCCACAGATCGGCCTTACGGTGACAGCCACCCTTGGAAGCGTTACTGCTGTCTGAAATAGTAACTCAAACT